TGGACGTGAACCTTCCTCGAGGCTTCCGCATCGCGGGAGTGGGCGGTGGCCGAATGAGCCAACAGAAGGCCTCCCCTTCCATTCAGCTCGAGATGCTGCAGGGGGACAAGACGTGGGTGGATGTGTCCCATGGTGTGGAGGACGGCGAGGAGGGGGTCAAAAGAGGCACGGAGCACCGTGCCAGCCTCTACCAGGTGGTCAAAGAGCTGCACAAGAACTCTGCGAGCAAGGAGCTGTCCTGCACAGGCTACAAGATCACGACCAAGCCTGCCGGATCTGGTGGGACGCACGGATTTGCACTCACCAAATCCGATGACTGGTACTACATCCTTCGTGACAAGGACGAGAAGAAGGTCACTCCCGGGAACATGGTTCCGTTGTTGCACTGGCAGTGGGATTTCTTCAAATGACTCTGTGGAATGCTGCTTCAGTCCTGTTTCTCTTCCTGTTGTGTGCCCAGGCCAGAGAGATCGTCGTGAAGGAGTGCCGCCTGAGCCCCAATGTTGTTTGGGCCTGGAAGTTCACTTTTGATCCGGTGCATACCAAGCTCACCGCTAAGAAGCCGATCCTGATTTTGAATGCCAGTCTGCGGTTGAAGACCGGCCAAAGCATCAAGCTTTCGGAAATCTCATGAGGGACTTGAAGTTCAAAAAGTTTTTCAACTTGTTCAGACCTCCCGAGCTGTATGAAGTCATGGCTGTGGCTTGGGTGTTCAAGCCCAGTGATATGAGCAAAAGCTTAGTCCCTGTGACTTTTCCTGCAAGGCTTCTTTCTCCACAGCTCCGCAGCAGTCCATTTTGACACAGGACGATTTAAGACAGTGGTCACCACTCAGCAGAGACCACCAGTGCTGCAGACCCCCCAGCTCTCTTACAGCATGTAGGTAGGGGTCAGCTCATAAGGGCAGGGGCAGGGGGCTTGCAACAGACACTGGGCAGAAACCGAGCAGATCTTTGCAGAGAAAAAGCTGTTTGAATCGTCCAGGTTTACAAGACGTGTTTGAGTGCTGTAGAGAGATCCAAGTGGAGCTTTGAAGAACCTTTCGTAATCTGCATGCATGGCAAGGCTGTGTTTGATCGAGTGCACACATGACTGTCTGTCGTCTTGCTTTTATCCTGCCAGGTGCTCTGCTTCGGAAGTGCCGGTGGCTTACCTGGCCAAGGTTTCTTTTTGATGCAGCATGAATATTTTGAATCATCACATGCATTGCAGTGCCTGCATTTCTTCCGATGAGGGCAAGCTCAGGCTGCCTGTCACTGAGGCCACTGATGATTTCTGGGCGGAGGCCGGACCCGCTTCGATCATGCCTTGGGGTTGTGTCAGGCCTGGCTTTGAACTATCACGGTTCTGAGTGCAACTAGAGCATCGGCCAAAGGGAGTTGACAGGCCTTCGGCAAGTTATCCCTGTGTTCAAAGCACATGCATTTCCGACTACAGCTGCAGTGTCATGCTTCAGTTTACTCAAGCAGCTCATGGCAGTAGCTTCATAAGCACGTAGCTCTGTCGGTTCCCTAGATCCAAGACATCAGAGAATTTCCGGAGAACTATGAAAGCCTGCCTCTGCACCGGGAATCGCCATGTCCGGTGAATCAACCTCAGAGCCTGCGGAGCAAGAGACTGCTTCAAGGGCCAAAGGACTCCAGCTGAGCTTTGGCCGGCCACCAGAGCTCTTACAGTGTCTCAGATGCGAGCCACCAGGACAAAGGAGGTCCAGAGCATCAAGTTCCAAGATCCAGCCAGGACTTGCATGTCGTCATGTTGCAGCGTTACAGTGGCATACCTGCTGTACCAGTCAGGACACACAAAGCTTGCCGGAGACGAATCAGCCTCAGAAGTAACAACAGAACCTGAGGATAGCCCAGAAACCATTCGCATTGAGAAAGCAGAGAAGGATTGGGCAGAGAGGCAAAAGAAGAAACGAAAGGCTGCTGCACCTCATTCAAGCTCAGACTGTGAAGAGACTGGCCAGCCCAATCCCGGCTTCAGAAGTTCATGCTGCACTGATTTCGTGAGCTACATGCTCGGCAATGTCCTCTCCACTACAGAGCTGCAGAAGTTGAGATCCAGAGAAGTACATTTTGCAGAGTTCTGTGCTGGAATGGGCACCGGTTCCCAATCATTGGTTGCTCGTTTTGCACTGTCGCTGTGTGTTTAGTTGCAGATGCTCTTCGCCTTTGATGTATGTTGCAGCTTGACCTGAGGAGATTCTGCGCAAAGTTTTGCAGCAGGATCATGATGTATCGGTCATCACAAAACCTTGTTTTTACACCGAGCTTGTCAAGTGGAAGCGCGACGTGCTGCAGAATATGTTGGCAGCACAGGGGCACGAGTGGGAAAAGATTCCCGAATCTTGGCAGGCTGAGGGATGCTCTTTAGGGTTCTTGGTTGATTTGCAAAGTTCACCAATCACGATCAGGGTGATATGATTATTGTCAGATGGTTAGTGGCCTACCAAGGTGTATGGGGCCACATCCGAACTGCAGGCATTGCCCAGAGAATCCATGCCAGCACTTTCCCTGGCCATTGTCGGTGTGGAGTGCGATGATATCTCGTGCCAGACCTCTTCACCGAAAAGCATTCTGGATGCTAAGGGGCACAGTGGAAGCAGCTTTCTTCAATTCCTTGAGTTCATCCAACGCTTGGAATGGTCCCAGAGACCAGTTGGCATCATGTGGGAATGTGTGAAAAACCTGGACTCTCACAGGAAGACTGTGAATGAAAAGGGGACAGAAGTCATCAAGGACCTCATGCGCAAGCAGGGGTATGTGTCGAGCTTCCAGGCAGCTTTTCCAGAATCATTTGTGCAACAAGTTGAGGCTTGTGGCTCATGTTTGCTTCAGCGGCCTGCCCTTGAGGTGGTCAACACGAAACACTTTGCTTTGCCACACAGCAGGAACAGGGTCTATGGAATCAGCTTGAAAATGGACCTGGCGGCAACTTGGCCTGCAGCATGCAATCAATGAAACAGGCCAGCTTTTTCTTTCGTTGACCACCTTGAGATCCCAGGGTCCGGGGGCTGAGCAGAAAGCTGGAGAGAAGCTCTCGTCAGCGTGGCGACTAGTCAGACGGTGTCAAGTGCAATGGCACGAGCCTTTGGTGGATTTGTGGCAGAGAGCTACTGATCAGCAAGCAGCCTAGCTGAACAAGCATATTGCTTGGGCAGTGTGGGATACATGTTTCTGTTCCAATTTGCTAGTGTGCAGGAACTTCGGAAACGACAGACGGCTTCTGGCAGGGCAGCATCTTCTCAGAAATGGCCTGCAGACCATGCAGTTTACAAGGAGAAGCACAACATCGCAGAAAAGGATCTACAAGTTCCACAGGTCAGATGGGTGCATCAGTGTTCCGGCCTCAGCATTCGGGTGGTTCATGAACCTCAGATTGAAGCCTTTCTGCTGCACAAGGCTTGCAGGAGCTGGATTTGCCAGAAAGAGAAGTAGAAGCAACCCATCTGTCCTTTGCCAAGCTGCGCAAGACATGGGGCCATGAATCTTGCTCTGCAAAAGGTTGTAAACCATTCGGTGTCAATATATGACCTCCTTGACTGGTCCGGTGTGACAAACCCAGGACATCGACCAGTCTCTCCTGTGTCTTGCATTCATTTTGGCAGCTTGAAGTGGTTGCTGATCGCTGAGTGAAGTTGACATATAGTTGGCAGCAACGGCCCAGGTTCGTCGTCCCCAGTGGAGACACTTTGCAACGACACAAATGGAGAACAGTCCACCCATGCCTTCTTCCGCAGAAGCGGTTTTTGTACTTGGACGAGAATGGGCTGCACCTGAACAAGTCTCCGACATTTGTGATGAGCCTGCAAGGCCTGTCAAGCCGTGAGCTCAAAGCTGCAGGCCTGACAGATCTTACAGTCAAGCAGGCCCAAGAGCTCGCTGGCAATGGTTTCACAGCCAATGTGGCTGCCAGTGTATTGGTTTCCATTCTGGTGTACATCCTGGAATAGCCAATCAGCTGCTTTGAATTGCTGTTCAATCCGGAAAAGCAGAGCCATTGCAATTGCAAGTGTGCCGAATGCTAAACTCAGACCTTACACAGGATTAGGGGTCTACAGATCGCATCTTCGTTAAGCAAAACTGAAGAGACCTTGTCGGAATCACCAGTCAGAGGGAATCGAGAGGCACTAGGCAGATGAATTAATATTCCTCAGAACGTGCATTTTCGACGCAGGCTGCAGCGGCGGCATGCTTCAGTTGGACCAGGCACGTACAGCTTGCTTTGAGAGCAGCACTGTTTGATTGAAGAAAGCAGGAATGGAGATTGTGAGCATGTCCACTGCTTGCTGCCTGTGCAGCTTCGTTTCTCAAGCAGTGCACAGCAGGAGCCTGATAGCCATGAACCCGTTTAGCCCCACAGTGGTCCAAAATTGCGAGTGTGAAAAGATAACGCACCACAGAAACCACTTACCCGAGCCTCAACCCGACGACCTAAACCCTCAAGATCCACCAGGGCTTGCCCAAGGAAACTAGAATGCTAGGAGCATGAACTTACTCCTCATGAGTCCTATCGGAGACACCGGTAGCCATGATGAGTTTCGCAAGCAAGTTCTCTGCATCTTTGCAGACATGCCGCAAGCTGCGGAAGCAATGCTTACATTGCAAGCACAGAGCCTTATCTGCATGATAAGAAGTGAAGCTTTCCATGCCCCACACACACCGCAACTACCTTGCACTCATTGAGGCTGCTACGAGAAGGCGGCCCCTTATGTGCACGAGCTACAAAAGTACTCGACCCAGCTTCATCAGCTTGATCGGGCTGCAGCCGACCGAGACATCCTCTGGGTTTTTAGCAGGTCTGCAATTGTATCAGACCGCGAAGAGAAGCAGAGCAATAAGAGGAAGGTGCAGTCCTCCTCGGCTGTCAGAATGGCGAAGAGAAGGAGAAGGAGCTCCTCCACCAGCCCTGCACCTCATGAACGTGAGAGGAAGGTGCAGTCCTCCTCAGCTGTCAGAGTGGTGAAGAAAAGGAGAAGGAGCTCCTCCACCAGCCCTGCACCTCATGAAAATGTGGGCCCAGATGAGGTGACCAGTGATTCGGCAAGTACTTCTGAGCCCGGCCATGCAGATCAGGCTTGTGAATCAACTTCTGATCCCGAATCTGATGAGTTGGACCTGCAGTCCAGCGAGGACGGCAAGCCTTGGAAGCCCCAGAAGAGGAAGCACTACAAAACAAGGATTGCAACCAAGAGGCCTTCTGTACAACTGGCAGGCATCATCCCTGCAGATGACTTGAAAGTTTGCCTGAAGAGTGCATATGCCTTTCTTCGTGCAGCTCATCTGGAGTGTGAGTTTCCCTGCTTAGCTTTGCCCAGGTTAGGGATACATGTCTTGATGGTCCGAGCCCTGAGCCAAGGTGGGTGCATCTCGGGTACAGAGAGTCACCAGGACTGCAACATGCAAGACATTTGTTAGCTTCATTGACTCCTTTGTTGTGGTGCCGTTTCACTGAGAACACAAGGTATTGCAAGGGCAGCCAGACAGGCGCCGTGAGGCAAACTCCATTCGGTCGAAGAACCCGGCCAGCTCTCCCATGCTGCGGGTTTGCAAGCTCTTTTTGTGGCATCGATACCAATTCGATGCGGAAGGCATGCCAGACAAATTCAGATTCGAGACAAGCTCTGTTGGCAGCCACAGGACTACAATAGTGCATTCGTCCCTCGTTCCAACAGCTTCAGTTTGTTGTTTGTGTAACATGACATGATTGTAATCCAGCTTGAGTGGGGCGATGTGCTGCAGTTCTGAAGGCAGCAACAATCGGCAGCGAGAAGTGGGTCGTCCTCCTCTTCGGATGTGGATGCTGCTGAAGATGCTGAAGCTCGTGCAGTGGCATCATGCTCGCTTCAGTGCTGCTGTTTACTAGAAGTGCCTGAAAAGGTGCTGACCGGTCCAGGTGTCGGCGCAGGTGCAAGACGGTACCTGGGCGTGGCGCGGCCATCGATGATGTTCCTCTGGCTTCAGCAGTGGGCCAGGGAAAACAGTCACCCTGTGCCGTCGTTCACAACATTCTGCCGAGCAGTCCGAGAGTGCCGCGGGTGGTTGAAGTTCAGAAAGAATGCTGGTGAACATGCGGTCTGTGACACTTGCTGGCTGCTGGGCTGCACTGCTGGCTCGGTTCATGTCCTGCCTATTGCTGTGTCAGTTCATGTCCTGCCTATCGGCCAGCGACCTCAGGAGCTTCAAGCAAAGGCTCCGGCAGCATCTCACTCCGGCTGAGAGGCAACAGCGGCTGGGCAGCCCAAAACAGACATGAGAACCCAAGTCCCAAAATGTGATGAGTAACTTCGGTCCTGACCAAGGACCCTGGATGATTACATCAGGCACCTCATGCTACAATGGCAGGATCGGGAGGCTGATCTGCGATGGGCAGCTCTTAGTGTGCAGCTTCGAACAAGTTTAAGTTCCTCGTCTTGCCATGCATGGGTTGCTGCTTTTTTTTGTGTTAAACAGTAAACACACTTCGGTTCTCGTGCCCAGCTTTGCAAGAAAGGAATGGGGGTCCGACTCCGGGACATCCAGCGGTCCCTGAGTGTAGTCTTGATCAGGGCCGACGGCCTGGACCAGGCGAAGCACAAGTGCCCAAGGTCTATGACCAAGACTCATGGGTTTGAAGCCCTTCTTCGTCCAAGCTTGTCAGTCCTCATGCTTTGGGCCCAGGGCCATGCGCTGGCCTTTGAGATCAAGGATGCAGATGTCTATAAGAATACAAATGCAAACGTGGAGGGGATTTCTCGGGTTCTCGACAAAGTCTACAACAACTGCAATCAAGCACTCCCCGTCCACATCTGCATCGTACAGGACAACTGCAGTCGGGACTGCAAAAACGGTCTCCTCCTCTCCTGGTGCGTCAAGCTCCATCTCCTGCAGGTGTGTGAAAGGATAAGCCTGCAATATCCCAGCAAGGGGCACACGCACGGGCCGCTGGATGGGCTGGGAGGGCAGGCGGTGACCAAATGCAGCGCCTGTGAGTTCTCCACTGCCGACAGTTTGGTGGAGATCTACGATGCGTTCCTGCAGCAGTCCACTGTGGACGGAGGAGCAAGCTTCAAAGGTGCCTGGAAGGGCGACGTGGCAGCTTAACTTAGAGGATGTTTGGATCTGTTTTGTGTCCTCAGGTGAAGTAGCAGCCATGAATGGTTTGATTGCAAGGCGACGAGCAAGCCAACTGGCAAAGCTGGTGGCAGGAGGTCGGTTTGGTCTTCTCGAACCTGACAGGGCCGAAGGCCCCCCATTCGCTACTCAAGCTGCATGGAACCTCTTTTCTGCTGGAACAATTTGTTGAACCGGAGCACCAGACCCTAAACCCGAAAGTGTCACAAGCAAGGTTCGAGGTGACGACCTTGAAGGATCTCGGCTACTTGCAAGTGCCGGTGACAACATGGCCAGGTGCCCCACCATCCCATCCTGATGATGTAGTTTGTGTGGTGCGCCAGCGCATGGCTTCACGGAGGCATTTTCAAGTCTGTCTTCTGGTACCTGGAACAGAGGTTCCAGCGCTGCGAGCCAGATTGTCAAGGCAGCCGTCAGGCGTTTACCCACGAAAAGCTGTCAAGGACCGGGACAAAGTGGTTGCTAAAGCATTGCAGGCTCACCGAGAAGGGTGCATCAATGCCGCTGTGCTGTAAACTCTAAGCAATTGATTTTCTTTGCTTCTGGCACTGGTCTGCCAAGTTCTTCGGGAAGCCAAGGATGCTGCTCGTGATTTCTTGGTCGGCTGGGCCAAGGGCACTTTGAGACGACACCCGCGACCTGCCCAGTATGAGTTCTTGAACCACAACAGGCCATCTCAAGAAGGGATTTGAGTCATTCCTCTTCATTTTGTAAAGCAAGAGTTTGCTGCAGCAAGCAGATGAGCTGTGAATTGAGTGTGGGTTTGTGGCTTAAACTGCCCTGACAAGGCATGTGTTTGATGCTCTTGCTCCGGCAGCTGCAAGGGCTCCACTGGCACCAGAAGAGTACCGGCCGATACATGTGCAGGCAGATGGAGGAGGCAACTTGCCCCCAGGGCCTGAGGACGATGAAGCAGACGAGCTGCCGGAGTAAAAGTGTCACAGCACAGGCCTACATAAAGGGTTGCATCACTAAGCCGAAGGGCACTTGAGTGCATGGTGTGACAGGCCTGATGTGATCCCTAAACCAGAACATGCCTTGGGATGGCATGCATGATGCGACCCCTAAACCAAAAACAAGACGATGCATGGGATGACATGTATGATGCGACCCCTAAACCCCTAAACCACAACATGACATGGCATGTTATGCATTCTGTGACCCTAAGCCCCTAAACCACAACATGACATGGCATGTTATGCATTCTGTGACCCTAAGCCCCTAAAACAGAACATGACATGGCATGTCATGCATTATGTGCCACGGTTTAGGGTTTAGGGTTTAGGGTTCCAGAACATGACATGGCATGACATGACATGCCTGATGTGACATGATGGCCCTAAACCCTTAACCCTTAAACCCGAGGACCTCAATGGCCCTAGATCTCTCAACTGTTACTAGGACTACGAAGTTACAGGTCGCAACCGGTTGCAATCTGTTTTTTGCAGCACAAGCCTGCAACTAACAATCATCTCAATTCATGGTTGTGTGAGAAAAATACAGAACCCAACCGGTTGCAATCTGACTCTTGCTACACAGAACGGTATTAGCCTTTCAAATGTATGGGTTTGGTTTATAGGTGGCTATAGATGGCATTGGACCGGAGTTTAAGGATGTACTACTGTGCGACTGGTGCATTTGTCTAATTCAGCGGTGATGCAGGAAGCCTGGACGGAAGCACTTGACTACTTCTTCGGCAGTGCTATGACATCCAAGAAGTTCCAGGCCGGGCAGGGGTGGGTGCAGCTTGGTTGAGAGTTAAGATTTTGTCATGATTCGGAGGATGCAAAAGAACCCACGAGCACCTGGCAGAGCAGGATTTAAGGATGTTTGATGGTGCCCCAGGCTTTTGATTGTCCTGCATCTGCTCGGTTCACTGCTCAAAGAAACTCGAGGCCTTAGACTCGTCCCTGTGCGACTTCTCTCTGCAATGACGGACCTCTCTGTACCGAAGAGAGCGAGATTCGTGGAGCTGATGAAGCAGACACCGGAGTACAAACTCATGAAAGCTGCAGAGGCCAAGATGTGCCCTACAAATGTGCGATGCCCAACTCCCGATCCCATGGTATCCACCGCGAAGAGAGCTTGGGAGACCCAGGCATGCATTTGGCGCCGGCAGATCAGGCAGTACGGGCAGACGGACGACGAGACAAAGGATCAGATGCAGAAGAAAAAGGCAACGGAGGAGCAATTGCTCTGCTTTGTTTCCTGAGATCCTTCATGGCCGAAAATTAATTTAGTAGCTGGATTCCCAGCTCTGCATAAGATGGTGTGCGAGTGTACAGTGCCGTCTATGAACACAAGATGACCCGGGGCTGGTGGGTGCAAAAGAAATGCTTTCAGTTGGCATTGAGAAATCCGAGACTCCAGCAGCAGTAGTGGTAGTAGGGTCCATGTCGCTGCGGCTTGTGTGCAGTGCACTGCTGTGAATGCAGGACATAACTGCTTGACTGTGACAGTTTCTTTTGTCCGGGCAGGTCCGACCAATCTGCTTGCGACAGCCGATGCCCGGAGTTGGAGCAGGCCTGGCAGGCCTGTAGTGCTCTGCCCCTTTTTGCATCAGGACTTGTGCAATCGCCTGAACACTGACTTCCACATTACTAGTGCTCTGCCCTAAACACCCTAGCTCGTAAACCTGAACAGGAAATGATGTGTATCACATGATATGGGCACTGAAGCCGAAACCGGACTGACTGGTCTGCATCTCTTATCCCTGACCCCCAATGCCAAGCCTGCAGCCGTACCCTCACAGTCGCTTTTTTTCATGCACACTGCAGAAGCAGAGGACGAACGGAGACAGGAAGCACACAATGATCTGAACAGTGGTTGAGTCATGTAGAGAGAACATTCCGAATTCTAGTTGCTAGTCATGCCGTGGCAATGTTTGCTCTGCACAACGCGCCGAACTTACCGGCGTGACAAGCTGTGCAGCAGGTGCAGGCCAACAAAAAGAGGACGCAACAACAAGATGGTGCCGACGACTAGGTTACGGAGGAAGCTCAGTCTCGACGAAGTGACTCACAAAAGACGGGTGGTGGACAAGCATGTCGAGACTTACAAAGAGCACATAAACCATGTCGAGACTTACAAAGAGGCCCTCTTGAGTCTCTTCAACGATCTGCGGGCTTTCCTGACAATGGCTGACTTGCATTCGATCATGTGCAATGCCCACAACATGCTCGATAACCTGAAGCCCAATCCTGGTGCTATACCTCCCTTCAGCAGAGAATCTGCTTTGGCTCTGGTTTTTGCTGGGATGGACTTGTCAGCCAGGGTTACAAGTGACGACATGGACAAATTAAAGAAAATCCTGCTGTGCAGCCTTAAGCAGAACAAGGCACGAGTGATTGCAGCGCACTGCCAGTGGATCAATGCCACGAACTTGATGAGGGGCTCACTTTTGGGGGATTGAAGATGCACAAACGATGTGTCTTTTGCTGGGGACTGAGATGCTTCTGGGGTATTGATGAAGAAAAAAGTGAGTGCCAGGGCACTGTCAACCACCCCAAATCCG